GCAGGACGAGGGTAAGCGTGGCGCACGACTACAGCTCGAGCCTGCCGCACGCGACTGCAGCTCGAGCGCGGTGGCGTGGACCGGACGGAGAGCCTGCCGCACGACCGCAACTCGAGCGGGGCCGACGACTGCAGATCGAGCGGGGCCAACGACTGCAACTCGAGCGGGGCCAACGACTGCAGATCGAGCGTGGTCCCATACCTGGGGAGTCAGGACCATGCATATTCGGGAAGAAGATGCTCTCAGCTGTGGTACGATTCACCGCCCACCGTCCTGAGTCCTCGCCCATACTCACCGTCCTCGCCGCCCATACTCGCCGTCTTCGCCCATACTCACCGTCTTCGCCCATACTCGCCGTCTTTGCCCATACTCGCCGTCCTCCCGGCCCACCGTCCTCCCAGCCCATACTCGCCGTCCTCCCGGCCCACCGTCCTCCCAGCCCATACTCGCCGTCCTCGCCGGCGGCTATATCGTTCCCTCGGGCGGCTATATCGTTTTCGGTGGTATCCTATCGCTTTCGGTGGTGCCCTCAGCCTTGACATCGGCGCCTTCATCCTCGACAATGCCGCCCTCATCGTCAACGACGGCGCCCTCATCAGCCTCGACAATGGCGCCCTCATGCTCGACGATGGCGCCCTCATACTCGACGACGGCGCCCTCATCATCGACCTTGGCGTCCTCATCATCGACGATGCCACCCTCATCTTCGATGAGGCCTCCCGCATTATTGACAATGCTTCCCTCATCTTCGACGGTAGTGCCCCCATCCTTGACAATGGTACCTTCATCATCTGACTCGACAATGGCGCCCCCATCGTCCTCGGCGATGCCGCCCCCATCGTCCTCAACGATGCAGCCGCCCTCGTCCTCGATGGCCTCCCGCATCCTCAACGATGCCACCCCCATCGTCCTTGACGATGCTTCCCTCGTCCTCGACCTTGGCGTCCCCATCATCTTCGACGATAGCGCGGCCTCGTCCTCGACGATGGCGTCCTCATGCTCGACAATGGCGCCCTCAGCCTCGACATCGATGGCGCCCCCATCGTCCTCGACGATGGCGCCCTCCTCATCGACGACGGCGCCCTCATGCTCGACGATGGTGCCCTCATCATCGACATCGGGGCCCCCATCATCAACAATGGACGCCCTCGTCCTCGATGGCCTCCCGCATCCACAACGAGGCCTCCCTCATCATCATACTCTGCCCTCATCATCAACGATGGCACCCTCATCCTCGACAAGACGACGGCGCCCTCATCGTCAATGACGGCGCCCTCTTCCTCGTCATCGACGATGCGGCCCTCATCCTCGACGATAGCGCGGCCTCTCTTCGACGATAGCGCAGCCTCTCTTCGATGATGGTGCCCTCATCGTCCTCGATAGCGCGGCCTCATTATTGACGATGCGGCCCTCATCATCAACGACGGCGCCCTCATCCTCGACGACGGCGCCCTCATCGTCCTCGACGATGGCATGCTTTCATGCTCGACATCGGCGCCTTCATCATCGGACTCGACGATAGCGCGGCCTCATCGACGACGAGGCCACCCTCATCGTCCTCGGCGAGGGCACCCTCATCATTGACGATGGCGCCCCCATCGTCCTCATCATCGACGATGGCGCCCTCCTCTTCGACGATAGCGCAGCCTCTCTTCGACGATAGCGCGGCCTCTCTTCGACGATAGCGCAGCCTCATCATCGACTCGGTGATGGCATGCTGCCCTCATCTTCGACAATAGTGCCCCCATCTTCGACGATGCCTCCCTCATCATCGACCTTGGCGCTCTCATCATTGACGAGGCCTCCCGCATCCTCGACATCGGCGCCCTCATCAACGATGGCATGCTCTCATCTTCGACGAGGTCACCCTCATGCTCGACGAGGCCTCCCTCATCATCGACGAGGCCACCCTCATGCTGGACGATGGCATGCTGCCCTCATGCTCGGCGATAGCGCCCCCATCCTCGACAATGGTACCTTCATCATCCGACTTGACAATGGCGCCTTCATGCTGGACGATGACGCCCCCATCGTCCTCAACGAGGCCTCCCTCATCATCGACGATTACACCGCCCCCATCCTCCACGATGACGCCCTCAGCCTCGACATCGATGCCGCTCTCATCCTTGGCAACGATGGCGCCCCCATCGTCCTCATCATCGACGATGGCGCCCTCCTCTTCGACGATAGCGCAGCCTCTCTTCGACGATGGTGCCCCCATCCTCCACGATGACGCCCTCAGCCTCGACATCGATGCCGCAGGCGGCAGCCCTCATCCTCAACGATGCTTCCCTCGTCATAGACGACGATGGCATGGGAGTGGTTATGACCTTGCAGGGGTAGTAGATGACGTGCACGAGTACTTAGTAGACGACCTTGCACGAGTAGTAGACGACGTGCACGAGTAGTAGTAGACGACATGCACGAGTAGTAGATGACCTTGCACGGGTAGTAGACGACCTCGCACGGGTAGTAGACGACCTTGCAGGGATAGTAGACGACGTGCACGACTAGTAGACTTACAGGAGAGGTAGACGACGTGCACGGGTAGTAGACGACGTGCAGGGGTAGTAGATGACCTTGCAGGGGTAGTAGACGACCTTGCACGAGTAGTAGACGATGTGCACGGGTAGTAGACGACCTTGCAGGGGTAGTAGATGACCTTGCAGGGGTAGTAGACGACCTTGCAGGGGTAGTAGACGACGTGCACGGGTAGTAGCAAACTTGCAGGAGAGGTAGAGGAGGTGCACGAATAGTCATGAACTTGCATGATACAAAACTTCTTGCACGATGTAAGGACGTTGCAGGATGTACGTGAAGACACGATATGAAACCTTGCATGATGTACGTGAAGACACGACGATGATGATGACCTACGAGTAACCAGTAGCTCGCAGGTTGTACTAGCCAGTAGCTCGCAGGATGTACTAGCCAGTAGCTCGCAGGGTGTACTTGAAAGGACGACGGGGCACGAGTGAAACATATATACGGCGAATGAGGAAGATGCTGTAACCTATGTACGAATGAGGAAAGATGCTGTAACCTATGTACGAATGAGGAGGATGCTGTACCTATGTGCGAATGAGGAGGATGCTGTATCTACATACGATGATTGATGATTTTGGAGCGCGTCATGCGTGGGATGAATGAGGGGAAGAGGGTCTGCGTGAGGTAGGGGAAGGGTCTGCGTGAGGCAGGGGAAGGGTCGTCACAGGGATATGGAAGACGCATGAGGTGGCGCTGACCGTGCAGAAACGGGAGCGCTGGCCGTGCAGAAACGGGAGCGCTGGCCATGCAGAAACGGGAGCACTGGCCATGCAGAAACGGGAGCGCTGACCGTGCAGAAACGGGAGCACTGGCCGTGCAGAAACGGGAGCAGAAGCGAAAGAATATGGTCTGTAGAACGGGAGCAGAGGTCTGTAGAAGGGAAACAGAGGTCTGAAGAACGGGAGCAGAGGTCTGAAGAGAGGTCTCGTCAATATTCAGGCGCGAACGCACACGATGAGTACCACGCACCGTAATCATCTATCGGGAGCAGTTGTTCTATCCGCGACCACCAATCGTCCATCCGACCACCAATCGTCCATCCGACCACCAATCGTCCATCCGCGACCACATATCCGGCGCGATCATCCCTCCAGCGCGGGCCATCATCCCTCCAGCGCGGGCCAACATCTGTCCAGCGCGGGCCATCCGCGCATCCCTCCAGCGCGGCCATCCTCGCATCTCTCCAGCGCGGGCCATCCGCGCATCACCTATCCGTAAAGATCGCCTCCAAATCCTCCATCTCAAACACCGACACCCCAATCTCCTCCAGCTCGCTCTCCACCTGCGCCTCCAACCGGCCCGCCTCCAGCACGCCGCCCCCATACAACGCCTCCGGCCGATCATACGCCGCATGCGCCCCATGCACCAAAATCACCTCATTCCCCCTCGCCACCGCCGCCCGACACGTCGCCGCCACCGCATAATCGCTCAACAACCCCGCCACAACCAGCTCCGCGCGCGCAGGCACCAAGGCGCCCAGCGGCGTCCCCGCGAACGCGTTGTTCTTCGCCTTGTCGAGCACGTGCTCGCCGGGGGCGGGCGCGAGGACGAGCGCGTGGCCGGGGGTGCCGGGGGCGTCGGGCTCGCCGGCGTCGCCGGAGTTGCGGACGTGGATGATGAGGGGGGGAGGGGTGGCGGCGCGGGCGGCGGCGAGCATGCGGGTGAGGTTGGCGAGGACGGTGGGTGCGGAGGGGACGCCGGTGGGCGGGGCGGCGAGGAGGGCGGCCTGGGCGTCGAGGAGGAGGAGCACGCGGTGCGGCTCGGAGCGGGGTTGCATGGTGGGGATGGAGTCAGAGAAACGATTGGGAGAGGTGCACGGCAGAGCGCTCCGTGTTCGTGTATGACGGTGCGAGGGTGTCGAACGGATGTCGGGCGACTAGACCAAAACGACGATCGAGGGAGGAGGGAAGGTGGGCCGTGAGGCAGACCTGTCGATCGCTCTGAATAACCTGTCGATCGCACTGGACGATCGGGCGAGGTCGGGCGGGCGCGCCTCGAGGCGGCGTGACGGGGCGGGGGGCAGCGGCAAGCAGCAAGTCAAGACAGCAACCGCGCAGGCGGTATTACTATATAAGCGCCGCATGCCATATATACATCAGCGGAGAATCAACCAGCCATCAGCACGTGTTCTGCGTGGGCGCACGCGGATTGGCGGGCCTCGAGCGCGTGGCGGAGACCCACGCGTCAAGCGCGGGAGGCGAGGACGTTTTGTGCTCACGCTTCGGGAAGCGGAGAGCATTCGGGGGATCTCGAACACGTATCGATGGTAGCGGATTGCCTCAGATCGTAGACGGCGTACGTCCCGGGCCAAAGAGTGTACTCATAACGCAAGAGGTAATCCAGGAAAATGGACGGAAGGCGCGGAAGGGCACTGCCGAGTTGAAGGCAGCGGGCACCGCCAAGTTGAAGGCAGCGGGCGGCAAGGCCAAAAAACAACGGCTTTGAAAACTAAGAACCCGAGACGGGATTCGAACCCGCAACCTCCGCCTGCAGATGCTGTACCGGAAAGCGACGTCATAACCATTAGACAACTCGGGCGGTGGTGGGTGGAGGGGCGTGGGTTATGACCCATGGGGGGCGAGAGGTATAAAAGGGGGTGGTAGAAAGGAACGGTGAAGCAGGACGCGCGGGGAGGGACACAGTAAGGACAGGGATGCGTAACGAGCGAGAGACGGTGACGATGAGGGCAACAATGGGCGCGCGATGGCGAGAGGCAAGAGGTGGGCGCGGCGTGATGCGACGCGTCCTTGTCTGTGACCGTCATGTAACCCATCCATCGACGCCTTCCACATCCGCCTCGCCGCCGTCCACACGTACACGCGTATCGTACCCGAATAAAACCCTCTTTCCTGGCTTCCGTACCGCATACATCGAGCCCCGTACCGCATACATCGAGCCTCGTATCGCATACGCCCCGCCGCCCCGCAACGCATACGCCCCGCCCCCCGCAACGCATACGCCCCGCCCCCCTGCAACGCATACATGCGCTCTCAACCGCGCGCCTCAACACACGCATACCCCCGCTGTCCTCCCTCAGCGAGCCCTGCTGTCCTCCCTCAGCGAGCCCTGCTCCCAATGTGAATATTGAACGCTCGGGCCAATGCAGATGCTCTTTCCTGTCGTCACCTGTGCGCTTCCAGTCGTCACACCGGTGCGCTGCCTGTCGTCACCTGTGCGCTTCCCCCTCGTCACCTGTGCGCTTCCTGTCGTCACACCGGTGCGCTTCCTGTCGTCACCTGTGCGCTTCCTTCACGCCACCGCAACAAGCGTTCAAACGTTCAAGGCGGGCAACAGGCGCCCTTCCTTCCCCCCTTTCCCTTTCCTTCATCCTCCCCCCTCACCTTCCCCTCTCTCACCTCCCCCTGCCCTCGTCCACTCATCCCTCCAGCTTCCCACCCTCATCCTCCTCCCCCTTCCCTCCTCCCTCCTCCCTCCTCCCTCCTCCCTCCACTCATCCTCATCCACCTCCCTCCATCCGCCCACCCATCCCTCACCTTCCCATCCACTTCAGTCCTTCATCGCCATCCACCTCAGTCCCTCATCCTCATCCTCGTCAGTCCTCCCTCCTCCCTCCATCCTCCCGCCATCCTCCCCCCAGCTTCCCGCCGTGTGTTAACCTGGGGGGGTGGTCGTCGTGCGTGAACCTGGAGGGTGTCGTCCTGCGTAAACCCGGAGGGGGGTGTCTTGCGTGAACCCGGAGGGTGTCCTGCGTTAACGTGGAGGGAGGGTGTCCTGCATTCACCCTGGCGGGTGTCGTCCTGCGTCAACCCGGAGGGGGGTGTCGTTGCGTTAACCTGGGGTGTTGTCTTGCGTCAACCTTGGGAGCCAGGCGACCGACGGGAGATAGGCGACCGACGATGGGGGGAGATAGGCGTCGTCGACGACCGACGTCGGGGGGGGGAGACAGGCGACCGGAGATGGGAGAGATAGGCGCACGACCGACGACGGCCTTGGGAGATAGGCGACCTTGGGGAGTCAGGCGACCTTGGGAGCCCAGACGTCTACGACCGACGGGGGAGCCCAGGCGACCGACGACCTTGGGAGCCCAAGCGCACGATGGCCGACGGGGAGTCAGACGTCAACGACCGACGGTGGGAGTCAGGCGTCGACGACCTTGGGAAGCCCAGGCAACCGACGGGGGGAGATAGGCGTCGTCGATGACCTTGGAAGATAGGCGACCGTCGACGACGGGGGAGCCCAGACGTCGTCGACCACGACCGACCGGAACCAGGCGACCACGACGACGGGGAGACACAGGCGACGACGGGAGAGACAGGCGACCAAGACGATGGGAGACACAGGCGTCGACCGACGACGGGAGCCCAGGCGACCGACCTTGGAAGACAGGCGTCGTCGGCTGGGGGAGTTAGCCGTGGACGACGACCTTGGGAGATAGGCGTTGTCGATGGGAGTCAGGCGACCGACGAGGGGAGGGACAGGCGTGGACGACGAGGGGAGCCCAGGCGCACGACCTTGGGAGATAGGCGCACGTCGACGACGGGGGAGCCCAGGCGGAGGACGACCGACGATGGGAGCCAGGCGACCGACGTCGGGGAGTCAGGCGCACGACGACGGGGAGATAGGCGCACGACGACGAAGGGAGCCAGGCTCGTCGACAACCTTGGGAGCCCAGGCGACCACGACGATGACCTTGGGGGAGTCAGGCGCACGACCGGAACCAGGCGTCGATGACGATAGGGAGTCAGGCGCACGACCGACGGGGGAGCCCAGGCGTCCGACCGACGACCTTGGGAGTCAGACGACGACGACGACGGGCTGGGGAGACAGGCGTCGACCGACCTTGGGAGATAGGCGACCGACGACCTTGGGAGATAGGCGACCTTGGGAGCCAGACGTTGACCTTGGGAGCCAGACGTCGACCTTGGGAGCCAGGCGACGACGGGGAGCCAGGCGTCGACGATGATGGGAGCCCAGGCGTCGACGGGGGGAGCCCAGGCGACCGACGACAATAGGGAGATAGGCGTCGTCGACGACGACCTTGGGAGTCAGGCGACCTTGGGAGACAAAGTCGACGACCGACGATAGGGAGCCAGGCGTCGACGACGACGGGAGCCAGGCGTCGTCGACGACGACCTTGGGAGCCAGGCGACCGACGACGGGGGGAGCCAGACGACGATGGGAGATAGGCGACCGACGACGATGGGAGCCCAGGCGTCAACCGACGACCGACGGGGGGAGATAGGCGACGACCGACGGGGGAGCCCAGACGTCGACGACCTTGGGGAGAGATAGGCGACTTTGGGAGCCCAGACGTCGACGACGACGACGGGAGATAGACGTCGACCTTGGAAGACAGGCGACCACGTCGACGACCTTGGGAGCTCAGGCGACCGACGTCGGGGGGAGAGATAGGCGACGACGACGGGGGGAGTCAGGCGCACGACGTCGACGGGGAGCCAGGCGCACGACGACGGGGGAGTCAGACGACCGACGTCGACGACGGGGAGTCAGACCACGACGACTTTGGGAGATAGACGTCGTCGACGACGATGGGAGATAGGCTGACGATAGGGAGACAGGCGTTGACGACCGACGTCGATAGGGAGCCAGACGATGACGACCTTGGGGGAGCCAGGCGTCGACGACGACCTTGGGAGATAGACGTCGTCGACGACCTTGGGAGACAGGCGACCACGACCGACGACGGGGGAGCCCAGGCGACCGACGACCTTGGGAGCCAGGCGACCGACGGGGAGATAGGCGTCGTCGACGACCTTGGAAGATAGGCGCACGACGACGATAGGGAGTCAGGCGACGACGACGGGGGGAGATAGGCGACCGAACGACGACCGTGAGGGGGGAGATAGGCGACCACGACGTCGGGGGAGCCAGACGGCCTTGGGGAGATAGGCGCATGACGACGATGGGAGCCCAGGCGACCGACGACGTCGGGGCAGCCCAGACGACCGACGACGACGGGAGATAGGCGACCGACCGACGGGGGAGAGATAGGCGACCTTGGGAACCAGACGACGACGATGACGACGGGAGACAGGCGACGACCTTGGGAGACAGGCGACCACGACCGACGGGGGAGCCCAGGCGCACGACGACCTTGGGAGCCCAGGCAACCACGACCGATCTTGGGAGTCAGACGACGACGACGACCGATGGGGGAGATAGGCGACCGACGGGGAGATAGGCGACCGACGATGACGGGGGGAGATAGGCGTGGACGACGACGGGGAGATAGGCGCACGATGACGATGGGAGATAGGCGTCGTCGACGACCGACCGGAACCAGGCGCACGACCGACGACGGGGGGAGATAGACGTCATCGACGATAGGGAGACACAGGCGACCACGACGACGACGATGGGAGCCAGGCGACCGCGACCGATGATGGAAGTCAGGCGACCACGACGACCGACGGGAGAGATAGGCGTCGATGACCGACGGGGGAGATAGGCTCGTCGACGACGATGCGAGATAGACGTCTACGACCGACGGGGGGAGTCAGGCGCACGACGGGGGGAGCCCAGGCGACCATGACGACGACCGACGGCCTTGGGAGCCCAGGCGACCGACGACCGACGATGGGGAGAGCCAGGCGACCGACGATTTTGGGAGCCCAGGCATCGTCGACCACGTCGACCTTGGGAGCCCAGGCGCACGACGACCGACGTCGGGGGGAGATAGTCGACGACCGACGATAGGCGTCGTCGACGACGATGGGAGTCAGACGACGTCGACGACGGGGAGCCCAGGCGACGAGGACCTTGGGAGCCCAGGCGACGACGGGGGGAGCTCAGGCGACCACGACGACGGTAGGGACAGGCGACCGACGATGGGGGGAGCCAGACGACCGACGGGGGGAGCCCAGGCGACCGACCGACGGGGGGAGATAGGCGTCGATGACGGGGAGATAGGCGCACGTCGACAACCTTGGGAGCCCAGGCGACCTCGGGTGCCCAGACGACCGACGACGGGGGAGCCCAGGCGGAGGACGTCGGGGGAGCCCAGGCGACCACGACGACGGGGGGAGCCCAGACGACCGACGGGGGGAGATAGGCGCACGACCGACGGGGGAGCCCAGACGTCGTCGACCGACGGGAGCCCAGGCGACCGACCTTGGGCGCCAGACGACCGACGGGGACAGGCGCACGGCGGCGATGGGAGCCCAGGCGTCGACGACGTCGGGGGGAGGCAGACGACGACGGGAGCCCAGGCGACCGACGGGGAGACACAGGCGACCGACGGGGAGACACAGGCGACCGACGGGGGAGACAGACGTCGTCGACGATAGGGAGTCAGACGACGACCTTGGAAGACAGGCGCACGACGACCTTGAAAGCCCAGGCGATGACCGACGACGGGAGACAGGCGTCGACGATGACGACGGCGAGCCCAGGCGATGACCGACGTCGACGACGGGAGAGATAGGCGACCGACAACCTTGGGAGCCAGACGACCGACGGGGACAGGCGCACGGCGGCGATGGGAGCCCAGGCGTCGACGACGTCGGGGGCAGCCCAGGCGCACGACCGACGGGGGAGCCCAGGCGGAGGACGACCTT